TTCGCCCGTGTAGCTTCGCTTCCACGCCTCCGATTCTGACAAGCCCAGAGTCGTTCGATAGCGTGCGCTTTGCTTGACCGTGGGTGTATCACTCTCCCCGGGGTTGTCTCTTGAAGATGAGATACCGGCGGTTTTGTCCGATTTATTGCATCGTCAACAAATTCTCCACCTGCTTTGCCTGCATCGGGCTCACCAACGGATGCCGCTCCTGTCCCGTTTTCGTCCCGTTCTATTGGGCCTGGGTTTCTCCAGCGAGTCGCCTCCATGGCATCGGTCTCTCTATTGGTCCACCTCCGTTTTAATGATCTAATCGTCGTTTGGGCAAACGCTGCCTTCCGTCTTCCTACCATTGCATATGTAGCCAAAGAATAGTTATCTGGTCACTACGACCCAGTGGTGTGCTTTTAAGTATCCCGTCGACCAGAAGTTCTTCATTAGTGAGTAGAAGATTCAGTACCGACGGCTTGTTAGCAGTTCGAAATCGGGTGTGGGAGGTTATGTGGTTGATTTGAACGTGTCGCCAGTGCTAAATGAATGTTTGACCTAAGTGGATTTGAAACGGTTTTGCGGATAAGCAATAGGCTGTGACTTTCGTCAGTGCCTAGTCACAACCGCCACGTGACAGTGTTGTTAAACTGACAGTTGTGACATTTTATAGGGAGAACGCTTGTCAGGCGAGAACCCACCACGTCCTGTAACACTGCCGCTGAACTAATTACTGGAACGGCGGAACCCGAAACGCCAAGCCGGCACCACAGCGAGGTTTTTCGGGTAGCCGGCCTGGACAGTTTTGCACTCTTACACTCATCCACTCCAGACTCGACTGTATGTGTTAATATAAGGAACACCGGACTCTGACCACTACTTTTCGTTGCAGGAGAAAGTTGGCGATCCAGCTCAAGAGAGGGCCACCGATCCTGTGATATTAAACTTTGCAAAGGAGAATCCGATGATCTAAACGATCGAATGTCTTCGACAACTCCAAGTAGATCATATCATTGGCATCTCCAGCGTCAGCTGAGTCGGTCCAACTACTCCGCGCGATTAATAACCTCGTCATACATGATCGCTGTCGACGAAAGCCGTGTTACTCGGGAGCAACAATGTTACATTTTTCTAGTTAACACACCAACGCATCGGCAATTATGGATTCCATGATCTTAAATAATACATGGAGGAGACTGGACAGTAGTTTGAAGGCTCAGACCTGCTTCCCCCTTTGTGAATCGGAGTTGTTATTCCAAGTTGCCACATCGCAGGATTCTGGCTAGGATGGGTTTCGTCACCTTGGACAGTATAGGGAGAAGGGAAACTGGGCGCTAGTTGGGAACCTCGGTTCTGCTTCCACCTATGTGAATGGGTGTTATTGTTCCAAGCATCCGCATGGCGTGAACTTGGTTCTGGTCAAAGCAGCGCTGGAAGAACTAAGCCAGTGGCCCTGCCAGTTGACTTGCTGCTCCTCCCAGTGACTCTGGGCGAATAGTATCGACACCCAGTTACATACCTAAGCGTTTGTTTTGCTGTACACTTTAAAATCAGCGCTTAGGCTTTGGGAAAACAATATTGGATCCTTATTTGAACAAGGAATTGAATGTTTACCCGCACCAATGTCAGTTTGTGTACTCAACGTTACCTAGGGATGCCGAAAATTCACTTGTGGTATGATCAACACTCGAGATGATGTGGAAACGATGAAATCTAGCAAAATCTCCGGACTTACTGCAGTCCAGGCAAAGTTTATTCCTGGATGGACATACCTTACTACTAGCGCGATGTCCAGCCTTCCCACAGCGGCAACGTTTGTTGCCACCATAGGTTATCGCAGCAGATGGCAAGGAGTTCAAGCGTTCGATCTCACTGGGCTAACTATTGGAACAACAATTCTGTTTTGCTACCTAATTGCGACCTTCGCAGGAGTTATGTTGCAAGCCCGGTCCCACGACAAGTTGTCGGCGTCCCCCAGTAGCATGCTTTCTCTGATCCTAGCATCGAACAGACTGGAGAGCAGATGCTGTATATCCGTCGTTTCTTCAAAACTTCTTTGGAAAACTGTCATGATCCCACCAAATAATAAGAAAGACAACTGTCAGCTGCACGCCGTAACAGCTCTTCGCTGCCGCGCGATCACCGCCAGTGTCGCGTGGACTGAGTAAACTGCGAGGACGCCTGCGCCTACGCGGATTCGAACCGGTGATTTCATACTTGCAATCCAGGCCTGCGGACCACTCGACCACCGGCCGATTGCCCAGGATTGACAAGGGGATATGAGATTGTCTCAATGTTCGTCTGGTGTTTGTTACATCTGGGTGAATTTGTTCCGGGAAGTGTACGTGTTCCTACGCACCCCCCATTGCTTATCGAGAGCGACGGCAAGTATAGTTTCGACTGTAGAGTGTAATTTGTCAGCACCAGACACCATTTTTGTTCATCTAGCAACGTTACATATTTGTGATGTATCTAAACCAACAAAGTGGCTACATTGTAACACAACAACCTTTTTACTTGCCTATTTCGAATTGCAGATTAATCCATTTGCTGGGTCTCCTTTTCTTCACATGAATGAGAGTCAGTGCAAGCGAAAAGAGGAACACTTAATGAGGTTAGATAAAAATCGATGCAGCCGCAAATGCGTTACCGTGTTACATAAATTGGAACTGAATTTCGCATGTCATTGCGAAGTGCATCACTAGCAAACCACCCATGGCTCCGCCTCAAATGCGGCAAGCATCGTTTAACGACGGGTGCCTTCAGTGGTACACCACCGAGCTGCAAACTTCACAAATACAAAGAATTCAACTGCGGTCATATTTTAAACGCTATTCATGTGAATGGATAGCGACGCGCAGTGCAATCTTGACTGTAACTCACTTCTGACCATGTCCCGATAGTTTGGAGTACCGCGGCTGCATATACTATAATCTATGGCTTGATGTGCGTATTTCAAGGATACTTGCGAAGGAGCGGTTAGCGAACAACGACGTGTTACTTGGTTAAAATACGTATGCTCTATAAATCCAGTAGGACAATCAAGGTGAGTAGTGCGAACTGAAAGGGGAGTAACCGTTACCAAAGAAACTGGCGTACACAGAAAAGATAAAATGGAGACCAATTTTGGGCGAAGAAGCGAATGAGTTAAAAACGAAGTTGCTTGATGATGTTGAGAATCTAGTAAATGGGTTTAAGTATTTAAAGCAGACTAACAGCCGTTATAATTAGCACCAAATTTGATAATAATGGAAACGGATCTACACTGTTTTCCAGGTTTACGCTGTACACATAGCGCTAATACGACACGGTCAAAGTTAGATGTTCTGAAGCATCAAACTTCCTGTAACTACGCCAACCCTACTTCGAGGGTGGCCAAGTTCGCGTAGTAAACAACTTCTCAGCATCTTGCGTTTCTCCCGTAGCACTTGGAACAAGCTTCAGGGGCGCTTTCTTCAATCCAATGTATGGCAGTGCTAGCAAATTCAGCACCCATTTACAAAAATTATGATGGGGCGCTCATCAAGGCTGACGTATAAGGAACGATATTCTTACGTCCAGTTTGACCCACTCTGGCTTCAACAACTGAAAGTACCCTCATCTTTGTCCAGTTTAATATATCTGCATGTCTTTTCAACTAGTAGAGCTGTTCTTCTACAAATTGCTCAATCAATCCCACATCTAATAGGAAATGTCTACTACTCTTAAGAATACCAAGCAACATATGCGCTTAATATTTTTTCCTGGTAAGGTATGCCCATCTGTGGGAAAAGCTACCGATGCAATTAAGGACCACTGAGCTCCTGTTCACATTAAGATCTCATTCCTGAACTTTTCGTTCCTTGCCAAATGTGTTCAAACCTTTCGGCCTTCAGCAATCTACAAGCGCGCTCATGGAATCCGGCCTTCCAAAAATAAATTATTTATTACATATTCCACAGATTATTCCATTGCCAATCCATATGGAACAGAACTTCATAAATTAAATGCTGATGAAACTCGCTGTATAGGTGATCGTTTCACAAAAGTGAACGTATCCCGCCCATCAGGAAATATACCCATTTATTTGTTTATTTAACATTAAGGTTAGCCATATCTTTCTCAACTAACAGAGCAGTTTACCGTACAACGTTTGGATTCGGCGCAATCACCCGTGGGCTGTGAGTTTTCACACTGCGCTCATGATGCAATAAATGCCATTAACCGTGCTGCAAGCAGTCAGTTAGGTCCGGACACTGCATTAAAATGCAGTATGGATGACCAGCAGGATCAGTTTGTAGTATGTAATAAAACCAATTCAACCGGCTTACATAAAGATTCCAAGTAATAGCTGCAGAAATCGGGCAAAGCAGAACACTTATGTGTAGACCAGCTCACGCAGCACAAGGTATTGTGTGTAGTGAGCGAGGTTGCTTGGAGTCGATTCGGGTGGCAACTCAGATAACCAGAACACTTCAAGCGGGATAAGCATGTGGACGGACAGCAGCACCTTTTCTACCACTATGCATCATTTGAGATCCATTAATTTGTACCCAGCTCCCTTGAGCTTATAAACATACATATAATTCGCTAGTCGCCTGTGTGTAGAACAATGCATGTGTTAAGTTGAAGACAACTATCCTTCACACTTTCGTACACTGCTCTCATTTCACTCACAGTCTGAGTATTTTAACGTCTCCGAAGAGATCTACCTCTGTTCACTTTGCTTAAATCCATTTCTGCTGATGCCCAAAATCCTGTCCAGTAGATAGGCCATTAACTAAGATACCTCCGAAGGCAGGTCGTCGTTTTGTCGTCTGTTGTTGGACGGCCGTTTTAAACGATGTTATAGCAAGCGAGTCATAGATCCAATCAAAACACAGCGAAGAAAATGTGCACCGGCATAAGAGATGAAGCGCACGTACCCAATCAGCAGTTCGCAAGTCATCGATCGGGAATCAGGTCATTGGTCGCGCCCACATCGGTAAGCTTACCTGTGGGACGTTAGGAAAGCTGCCCATTTTTACTGAGGACAGATGGATAGACCACAAGTTTTCACTATTGCATTTCTGCTAATTTTTGTCATATCGAACGTGTGGACGGCCCGACCGTTGACGCCATACCAACGAAGTAAGCCTGTCAGTTTGCTCTCCTTCAGTTAATCGTTCAACCATTGCTAGCAAAAATAATGCGGTGTAAGCGCATTACCTGATAGGGTTTTCTGGGTCCAAATATTTCCAAAGATGACGCGTGTCCTACTTCGCAACTTAATTAGATTGGTTCTTCATTCCATCCCTGAAAGAGTAATTGGTTTCCAGTCTACGGATTCACAACCACGTAATTTCCCTTTCATATGCGGTCTAGTATATTTATGCGCAATGCAATACAAATTCCTTACAATTCTGTTGTGCAGTAGGTTGAGTCAGTCTTCACGAAACACCCGTGACATAAGTCGATGACCGCAGTTATTCCATGCCTCCGTTTGATTTAAGAGAAACAGAAACCCTCAACTTGATACTCAAATATTTGTGTGATGGCTTTTAAGTAACCTGTCCCCATCCATGTACTTATACTTTTGTATCGATTAGCTCCGCTTACCCAAACATTAAGATACCATCTTTTGTGGTATATGTGAATCACTTTAAAATGCTAATTCTATGTAGTATTTCGTGATGGAAGCTGGCATTTTGGATGAAAACCTGGTAACTTTTTCCTGCAAACTACGTGTCTTCTAGTTGTAAGTATTCACATGGACTCTCAGGTACTCTCAGCTAGTATGTTGGATAAGTCTCCCATTGCGATCAACAAATGATAAGAAATCGAAAGTTTGAATGCATGCTCATTGAGCACTCGCAGCTGTTTCAAGAGTCAAGTACACGTTCACAAATGACCACATTCTACTTCTGACCGCAATCGCTTCTTTGCCGCATTTGTAAACAACCCATAAGATTAGCATAGTAAATTCTACTAGCAATCTGTTAGCACTGGAAACTTCACTGAACGGTTGTGTTGCTCTTATCTATCATATCTACCAATGAGCACATAGTAGTCGCTGCTGTAGTCAAGTAAAAGCCAGGAATGTGCTTTATGCATTCATGAAGTTTGAATACTCACCTCCACATTAGATGATGGTTCTCAAAGGTAGTTGCAATTTCATCTTGTTGTCCTATAAGTTTTATATCTACTTTTCGCGCTGCAAGATCCTGGTGCTATGCCTCATACTTACCTACTTCTTTCAGTAAATTCGACTAAGGTGTGTAATCACAACGAGCTTTTGGCTGCTTAACTTTTTGTTCTCTCTGAGTATGGAGGTGGTGGCGCATGCGGCCAAAAGTTCTCAAGATCAGATTGATACACGACTAAAGAAGCACTCCACAAGCGCTGATATTGTCCACTGTGCATCCCAAAACCCAAGCTGACGTAGAAGATGGCATAGGCCCCACAAGTTCTTGGTTGCGTCAACTTGCTCGCGCGGTGAGCTGTAGCCTCCGACAGCGCTGGAGGGGATCTATGGTGCATTACGCATGCAGCCACTCCTACGCACTATGGGTTTGTGGTATGATAGAAATGTTGTAATCTTGGCCAGGATTTCGACTAGCATTTCGCTGTGTGTTCCGTCTGCCTCGATCACCCAAGATTTTCCGGCGTGAGCACTTAGAGATGACGCTCAGACGGATCATGGTGAAAACGCTCTGACCGTAGCCGGTGTTCGTAGGTACGTTATAACTTAAGATCGGACAGAATAGTAGAGTTTGAAGTAAGCAGTCTCGTGGTATCTTTTACAAATACCAGAGATTATCGCGGTCAAAGTACCTAGCGTTAACCTGTGGACAATGCGCTACGGATGGATGGACCTGATGGAGACAGTCACCTGCCCAGTCCACAGACACAATACATCTGAGGTATGTGAAATAACTGGTCAACAGCCTTTGATTGGTCCATTAAGATGCCATCAACTCCTACTCCATCATCGACGGATTCCGTTAAAAATACACTGTCATTAGTTTATCGACACAAGAAAAGCTGTTGGACTCCGTGCTGTTTGGGCGCAGGGATTTCGTTGCTATCCAAAAACTCTTAGCAACACATGACTTTAAGTTCAACGAAAGAGATTTATTGGCTTGTAATTAAACGGCTCTACAACACTCCTACTCCTGTGAATAGTAGTGAAAATTCCGTGTTTTTTATATACGGTCGAACTCGCTTTATTGCCCAACCGGTTTATAGCCCACCCCGCTTTATTGCCCAGATTATTTTAAATACAAATGCTTTCCTCATTAATATACTAAACTTTCACCGTCTAATTACCCACTGCCGGGTCGTCTCAACGCTTAATTACCCAGCTGCTTGGGCTGTGCTCTTCTCGTTTTGTCAATTTTACGTTCTCTCACTGACTATCTTTTATTATGATAACCCCCACACCTAGCCAGTCCGACGGAGTCAAGACGTCGGCGACGTTATTGAGAGACCAGAAAAGCTTGTCTATGTCATTCAAGCTGGCAAGTTAAATGTACAGATGGCTGTAGGCAAACCCTGGACCCAATTCAAAACTCGAGAACGGAGCAAAGTCGAGTACTCTTTCCGCTCCATCTTTGTCAGTACTCTATTGGTTACACACAAGTATGGCCAGTGATAGAAGGGATTTGTCTTTGATAAAAATAGCTGGAAGTCTTGGACAAAATTAAAACTTATCCACCAGGAACCTCGTAGGCCAAGTTGTCGAGAGATTTACACATTTCTTGTCGTACCCTAGACAGGTTGATTGCCAGCGAAAAGGAAATCATGCAGAATTTGTCGCATGAGATTGCAACCTCTCAGAAAAGGAAACGATGTGGAAAGGATGAAGAAGTTGAAACAGCATTGAAACACTGGATGATATCGATTGGTGAGCAAAATCAAACAGTTACAGACCCGATTCTGAAGAAAGGCAAAATTCGGGGAACAAATAGGAAAATCCTTTACTGCCACAGAACGATGATTGCAAAGATGGAAGAATAGAAATCAAATTGGGTATAAGCGTGTGTATGGCGAACAGAGTTTCGTGGACAGAGCAGTCTGTGAAAAATAGTTAAAAGATCGAGTTCCTGAACTTTTAAATGAATTTGGTGATGAAAACGTGCCCAATGCAGACGAAACGGGTCTTTCTTACAGAGCAACTCCAGAGGGCTCTTGGTGCTTTTTGCCGAAAAACTCAGCGGACCGCAAAAAGCCATGAATAGGATCACTATCCTGTGCTGCGCGAAAATATCAGGCAAGGATAGAAGGAAACTGGTTTTTCTTGGAAAAAGTAAGAAACCAGGTTGCTTTTATGGCGTGAACGTGGACACACTTCCTGTAACTTAGAGAGCAAACAACAATCATAAATGACGAAGTAAATTTTCGCCGAGTGGGTCTTCGAAAGAGACGATCAACTAGGCCAAAGTGACCGAAAAATTATGCTGCTCTTGGATATTTACACAATGCATCCACAGATAGAAGGCCTGAAAAACAATCAAATGGCAAGGTTGCTGGCAAACACGAACAGCGCTTTTCAACTCATGGACCAAAGTGTGATTAGGGAACTGGAAATCCGCTAAAGCGCAACATACAGCCCAAAATAACACCGATGGTTAAGGACGTAGTCGCGAAATACGCCCTCATCATCCGCCTTCGTTTTAAAAGTGATATAGTTAATGAGCTTTTAACAAGAAAACTGACGCAATCGATAAGGTTCACCTTTCCAGCTGCGAAATTACAATGCATTTTCGCCACGAACCAGCTAATTCCTGTGTGCAACAAAGACAGACTGCCGTAGGTGACCTCTTCTTACGGTATCTATCGATTTGAGTGCACTTGTGGGACAACATACATTGGTCAGACGGCTCGTCAACTGTCACCTCGCATTAAGGAACATAGCCCTGTATGGTTGTTGAACGGGGGCACCGGAGTTCTTACAAGCGGTATTTTGTCTCATCTGTTCGAATCAGGTCACCAAATTAAACTCAAGAAGGCCTTTTCTGTGATTTATCAGGTCCCAATGAGCAAATCGAAAGGTACGCTGTTAAGGATACGCACCACTGCAGAGTCCATTACGATCCGCATATTCCAACCCCCACTGTGCTCGCAAAAAAGTTTGTTCAATCTCTATAGCTACCCTGGCCCAACAGCCATCAGCCTAGCCGTCACCTCGACATCGGCTCACGCATCGTGATTACGTAACCCTCAGTCGATCTGTGTGAATGAGACAGCAGAGAACTATTCGCTGTCTAACCATTGACCGAGTCGTTTCAGAACAAATCCCCGAACCAATCACTATCCATCCCTTTGTAGTTTAACCTTATATGATTGTACCGGCCCGTAGATGAATTATTGAAGACGATTGTTTGCCCCCGACTGGTGTTCTTGATGAAGAAGGGAAATTGTGAACCGAATTCCCCATCACATCGAAAATACGTGTTATCTGACTCATCTTCAGCGGTGGATGTCGGCTTCAAGATTTGTATGCTCGATGCTATTCAGTTAGTTTCAAAATTTTGGAGATAGTTTACCGGTGCAACAATAAAAGCTTGCTTTCTGCACGCTGGCATCCGATGCACTTTCTGATAACGCCGTCATCGCTGAGGGCGAGATCAGCGCTTGCACAACCCCAGTCACAAATACAGAAGAGTTCATCGCCATTGACAACGATGTGGAATTTGCCTCTGAAATCATCAGAAACATTTTAGAGAACTGACTAGAACAGGGATAAGACAGCGACTCTGAGGATGACGTGCCGGATGCCTCTGTGCGTAACAGCTATCAGTGCGTGTCGCATACAAGAACAAAGAACTGTGTGAATGATCGGTATGGCTACGGACTTTTGCATGGGCTAGGCAACGATTTCTTGGCTAAATTGGACTTCATCAGTGCAAAAGTGACTGGAGTAGCAGCTTAAAACAATGTACAACTGACGTTGGATTGTTTTCTCAGCAAAAATATACAGTAGCGCCAGTTCCTATAGTTATCCAGGTAGAATGCTTTATGCTATAATTTTTAAATTATAGATCACGCTCTTCTGAATAAACGTCTTTTATGGCTTTTAGTTACAGATGCGCATTTTATCTTCATTAGCAGGTTACAATTCAAATGATATACTCTACAATAATTCAATGGTTGTATCTCCTTTGGAAAAAATGGCAATTACGGTTAACTACCCATCATGCTCTATTGTCCACTTTTGAAATGTCCCGATGGTGGGCAGCAGAGCGGGTTCGACTGTAGTAGGAATTTGCATCGCATCAAGGCATCGCTGAAAGAACCAATGACGGCTTTACTCATTCGTTGGCATCTAATCCATTTAGTCTACACCGAAACCCTGGAGGGATTAAGGACAAAGATATATGAGAGTAGCTTAATAAGTTTCCGGATGCATACAAAGTCTTACTTGTTACAATAAAATAAGCATTGCACTTCTTCGAAGCATTCTCTGACAGCTTCCATGCAGAGTTCCATGCGCTCAAGCCATTTGGAGAAGCAGCTAGATCATTCCAAATCGGGTAACACATCAAGCAGCTCAAAAAAGACCTCTACCGCAGCTTCTGGAGATTCGGATCGGATTCCACTCATCATACGCTTGATATTTGGGAACACAAAGACAAAAGGAGCCAGGTCTGAACTGTAGGGTGGGTGACCAACCTCCTGGATGCGTTCTCTAGCCAGAAAATCTAGATGACATGGGACCTGTGTGCACGTGCGTTGTGATAGTGCAGCAAGGTCCCTCGTGCTCGAGTCCTTAGACGACGCGTGGCTACAGCTTCCAGCACTTGTGGCAGACAGTGTGTGGCATCAGGCTCCGGTGACTGTGCGTTGCCGTACGAGCGGCACGATAGCTACATTATCGGCCTTGGTGACGAACACAGCCAACATCTGCTTAGCCACATTGCGCTCATGTCGGAATTTCTGAGGCGGCGCCCAACCAACCGCTGTCTACTGAGCCGATTGTTCCTTGGTCTCTAGGTCGAAACTTTACACCCAGGTCTTATCACCAGTGAGGATCTCCTAAACAGCATTAGAACATCCACCATCAAACCTAGCAAGCATGGTGCGGCATCATTTTTCCCGAGGTGCTTTCTGGTCCCCACTGAGCTGATAGGGTACCCAGCGTGCGCAAACTTTCTGAGGCCGAGGTTCTCATTTCGGATGGTGCGGATTGAACCCGATGAGCTCCCGATGGTTTTTTCAGCTGTACCACAGTCAATCGCGAGCCGTACCCCAACATCGTTTGCACAGCAGCAATGTTGTCCGCAGTGATGGCCGCCACAGGTCGACCACACTGTGCCTCAAGTTCCATGGACCACCTGTCACGCTTGAATTCTGCAAACTACTGGAACACGGTAGTTCTTGAAGGCGCATCATCACCAAACGCAGCACGCAACCACTCAACACTGATGCTGCTTTAAACCACATTTGTGGTCAAAAATATCAACGCCCTCCAGTGACATCAACTAAATGCCTTACGTACAGTTAGAGTATTGCGACCCTTGGGCTGCTAATATATGGTTCTATGAGTTGAAATCAATGAACGACGTTTAGTGTGGATTACAGTTCGAATTTTTCTTGCCCCGTCATCTACATCTAAGCTGTGTACTGCGCACACGGAACCTTAATGCTCTGCCCTCGTATAGCTGGTTATGTTACCGAAAGCGTCAATGATGTTAGAACAAGGAAGACATTCGTTTTTGTCAGGCTGTCTAAATAACTGCATGTACATTACGAAGCAGAGAACTGTGAGTTACTTAATTTTGGGTTAAATTACTTTTGCGCGATGTAAGGTGTTGAGTTATTTTATCAAAGTGAATAAGCGATCGTCTTCCGATGTTTCAAAAGAACATATCTCGAAGCTTGAACGAAAATGTTTGGTAAGGACTTAAACCAGAAGCTGCCATTACTCTTATTGGTACAGTAGAGCGAAAATTGTTCAATTTTTCCCCGTGTCTGTTGCTTACCTCCAAATGCATCTCATTGCTTGGAACGGATAACACGACTGTTTCGCTTCAGCCTTCACTCCTATACGCAACATCAGTTGTTCCCAATGTCATATGGAATTCGAACCACCAGCTGGGGGTTACAACTTCGTCGAGTTGGAAATGAAGCGTCGCGAGTGCCTTGATGAACCACAGAAGTTTTTCAGACCCTGGTGAGACATATTCCTTCAGATTATTGCATCTATGTTTTTCGAATGGCTGTTATTGCATAAGATTGTGCACGACGTCACCGCTTACTTTAACTTGTCGCTATTCTGAAAAGAGATTACAAGATATTTGAGTAACATCCGTAGTAATGGGGTTGAGTCGTGCTATGCTGAACCTAGTAGTCATTCTTGGCTTTTCACAGCCGTCACTAGCGACCTAATGATATAATATGTTCAGTTCCCACCACACGGGTTGTAGACCCGGCACCCATAGGAATAACGAGATTACACGGGGTTACAGGGTCCAAATGGGGGAAAAAGATTTTTTAGCGCTTTTCCGGGATGGTGTGGCCCGGTTGGCCAGCTAGCAGGGAGCTGAGTACGACGAATAGGGTAGGGAATTTCAGCTGATTGCACGAACGGAGTAAGTATTGGCTCGAAGAACTATTCTTTCAACAAAATGAATGGGATATAGTTATGTACTGGACTGGAGCGTTTTATGGAAAAAAGGCATCAGTTCTTAACACGGATTGGCCGAGGTGTACCCGGTAGGGTTTATGAGAAGTCCAGCTTTACAACGTCAAGCGTTCTGAAAATCGACAGATGAGATCCCTCGAGAAACGGTGTTGCCTAGTTAGGGAGATTAAAAGCAAGGGTAAATGCACTGGATGCCTTAAACCATTACATTATCCTGACATATTTGTCCCATATTACCGTAGTTGGTTTTTAAATGGTTCGGATTTTTACTCACTACTGCCTGTCGTGTAGAGAAGCTCACGAAAACGAAACGCTACGGAGACTATATCAATAATGAGAAAAGGCTGGAGGAACCGAAAATCTGAGTGTTGCACGCCGGGGTGCAAGTAACGTGGTTGCTATGTGCCAGCGATAGTGAGGGTGTATGTCGTGGATGACATGAGAATACAAGGAAACTTCTGAGTACCAACACTAGTTTCCTCTCCTTACTACTGATCTGATAGCGCACACTTAATGAGCTCAGAGTGAGATCCAATCTATCTGATTGGTTAGAGCGGCGGCTGTGATTCGCCGTTATCCAGTGGAGTCACTCGTTAGTTCGAAAGCGAAGAGTCGCCGGTTATGACCTCTTCCCAAGGGTCGGTACTATGCCTACTGTGGATTGATCGCGAGAAGAGGAAACAGTTGTCTACTGGTTATAATTATATGGGGTGAATCGCAGGTTAGGTGTGTCTGTTACGAAGCACGTTTGAAGTCGATCAAGATAGACCAGAAACAGCATTGATCTTTGTGATCCGCAAGTGTGTAAGCTACAACGCTGGCCAATAAACTGTATTAGTATGTACAGAAAAGACAACACCAAGAGGATTCGATCTTTCGAATAATGACGATTAATAACTCCGACAATGGCAAGGTAAACGCACCGTAACCAAGGAAAATAGACTGCAACTTTCCGTCAAAGTGACATAATGACGAGTCAGTGGTGAGCCCCAGAAATGACAGGCATCAGCTTGAGGTTTTAGCTGGGTGCGGTCGAAGTGAAATAATGTGTTTCCCACTAGATGACATGGGTGTAAAATGACAACGGTGTCGGACCCACCTGATACCTTGATAAGCACACATCCTCGGGAACGCTTGGCGAGCGTAGTTCGAAAGCATTCAATCCGAATTCTTCCTATCAATATACCCTAAGAGGCAGTACTCTTCTAAACCACTTTATGATCCAAGCAAGCAATGGTGGTTCAGTAAATCAAGTCGCGGTTCAGCGGAATAACCCCGTCCTTCTCACCTTGAAAGCAAACGTCAGTGAAGGGTATGTATCGTATTATATCGCGGCTATCTACTTGGTCAATGTGTCTGCCGCTTATCCCCCGTTGTCTAGTGGTCATAGCCTCGGGCTTGAAAGAGTTGGGGCGCTGTTCTGGCCCCACAAGGGAGACATAGAATGCTTCGTGTTGACCATTCCCAGAAGAAAGAAACGGTCGTCCGGTGCCGTGCTGGATTGACAGTAGCTGTTCGACTGAGGTTGGCCGTGACGTACCTCTTTCGAAACACTAATGCACTGATTAATTTTACTTGTGGCATTCGTCGTGTGGTATCGACCCACCTGCACCGAACTCCAATTTTCGTCCACCCGTTCGTGTGTTTGGACCGTGGCACATATATTCAACTTGGATCATGGGTTAGCACGTAGGCAACTTTGGTATTTATCGTTCTCAACAATTCATCGAGATTCAGTCTAAAAGAACCATAGCCGAAACCGACACAGTGGGCAGTAATTCAAATATATGGCGGATAATACAAAACCATACAATCGACTCCCAACTGCTATATCAAGGCCTACATGATGGCGGAAAGGCATAGTGGCCGGAACACCGAGTGTCACTTCCAGCTCCATTCACCTGTCTTCACCTGAAAAGCTCGACCGTGGAGTCGTGGGATGCATTCTAGAGACGTGTTGCGCAGAAAATCTCTTCCTAACAGCAGTCCGATTTCCACATCCTAAGTTGTATTGAATCGTGAAGTTAAATGTAAGTTAGCAACTCATATGATAACCAATACTGCCCAATGTGTAAGTCCGAGATTGAAACCACGAAAGTTGGTGAAATTTCATACCAGTTGTAAAATAAATCAATTTGTCAATTAAATCCAAAGGGATGGACGGAATACTATACATGCAGTACAATCCTTGCCCCAAATACAGTAGGACTACTTTGCTTTAATCGATTAATATCCTTTGCGAAATTTCGGCCCCAAAGTCTGCGTTACAGTATGAATTGCGGCTGGAGTTTGGATGAGAATCCTGAAGATCTTAGTCCAACGTAAAAGCGCCAGGGATGCCAAGAGACGCTACCTGCTACACATTGATTGAAGCGAACGTATTGATTAACTTGGGGTGAAGTGACAGTTGTTGATGATGTATCGCGGGTAATTAGTGTTCAATGATGAACTATATACGCATACTTTTTATCCATCTACAAAGGTGTAAAGACCCTCATTGGGAGTATAAACGAAAACGTGCATAATAAATGCTGGAGTAAAGTTAAGGTACTGGTAGTTTCACATTCGTAAACACCCAGCACTAGCCAAAAGGCAGCCGGTGGTTTGTTAGGGAACCTAATACTTCGGAACACAAAGCCCACCCAGTGCACCATGGTGATGTGCGTGGCACCGGTGGATAAGGAATCGGCTTCCGCAGTGACCCAGAAATCTCAGCCGTTGGTTGTGCCATAGGCATCCTACCGGAGAACAGTAGCCCTTCTGGCTGATCCTATCTTTCAAGAATGGTGTTGATTTCCCAGCTAAAGGTTTCTCGGGAACCAGTTATTTCAAGAACCCCAAAGTATTTCGAAATCCGTAGAGTGTAATGTACTGGGTTGGCTAATTAGTTCGATTAATCCGATGTCGACGCAACTTACTGGCTCTTTCATACTTCCTAGCATAGCAGCTGAAAAATAGGAATTTTTTGGGTCCACTTTTGAAGTGCGAAAACTGAATTACTTAAGAAGCAATGAGAATTTGTCATCTCCTTGTGCTGCAACCAGAATAGCCTTCTGCGCCGTCGTGCACCGCATTAGGTGGATTGCGGCGGAATCATTGGGCATTCATGGCATGTGTGAGTAAGCAGTAGCGTTATCCGTTGTTGTCATAGACATCTAAGTGCTGATGTGCCTCCATGATGTGATCCGGCACATTACAGTGACACCTGCCTGTAAGTTACAGTTTGGGCGATGCATACATACTGAGTTTACTGAATGTATCTGTACAAGATTTACTAATTCCGCACTCTTGTCTCATACACAATATCACTGTTTTCTGCTTTACCATGTTACGCTCTTTTACTGAAGTCCGAAGGATGAGGAGGTTGCCCCACGAGGATGCGGCAAGATTACAACGTATGCGAAGTCACATATCGGTCATGGGCGAACACATGGTAAGCTAACGTAGCATGGATCCTCCCGGTGTCCTAATGTGTAGTGTTGTTATCAATCGAAAATTTCAATCTGTTTATGGCTTCATACCCGGAAACAGTAGAACGCTGTCGCGGCACCTGCATTGCACTTCCCATGTTTGAATGAAAAAGCTTGTTGGAGGGTCAATTTGGACTACACGTTGTGCGATTGGATTGCGACGCATAATCTCAATGTAGACCGCGGTTCACATTAAAGTGAACCTTGGTCACTGCGATCACTGGGACCGTAATCAAAGCATATGGGAATTGGGTGTTGCCCGCCCGAAAACACTGCGCAACCACGACGCAGTTCGAGATAAATTCATCTAATCAGGTGGAGACAGCAAACCAGGAACCCGCGACCATCGGAATAGTAGCCGAAACCTCTACTCCTTTGGCTATATCGAAGCGCATCGTGGTTGCGCATTTTTCGGTCGGGCAACACAATTTCCATCTGCTTTGACTACGGTCCCAGTGATCGCAGTGACTAAGATGCACTTCAATGTGAATCGCAGTCCACTTTGAGATTACGTGTCGCAATTCAATCGCACAACGTGTAGTCCAAATTGACCCTCCAATCAGTCATTCACCGTTGTGTCAAACGTTGTCCGCCGTAACCCGGTAGCCAAAGGGGTAGAGGTTTCGGCTACTATGCCAATGGTCGCGCGTTCGAGGCCTGCTGTCTCCACCTGATGAGATGAGAAAGCTTGTGTTATAACTGTTTCTGATTGCGTAGTGAGCCAGAAAGGCACTACTGTCACATGAGTAAGTGGCATCGTTTAACATGAAAACCCAAACGGATGCCCACCTGGGGTGGACGCCCAAAAACCACAGGCGGAAGTGCCACAAGAACGACCACGGAAGCAGCTAGTGATGAAGATTGCACTACGTTACGTGCGAGATGACAGTCGTCGCCAAACTCAGCATCGAGTCTAATGTGGATGATCGCTGACTTATTGGATGGTGCCCCCTCTCTACCGGGTTCTTTCGTTGGATTAGATCTTTACCCGCATGCTCCACACCTTACGAGCTAAAACGCGTTTGCTTGCGCACGTAGTGTCTGATACATTTCCTCCTTTAACATGTCACTTATCTGCCGTCGTGGACACAACAAAGGTGACCTTCGCGATCAAACAATACAATGCTGAAGATTTATTGCGGTGGTAGCGTTGGTGGTATACGTTTCCGGGCCTATGGAGGTCACGGGTGTTGCTTGTACATCACGTTCAGCCCCAACCACATATCTAGCTTGGATGCAAACCTGAAGAAGTTACACCAGTGAGCAGTATGATGAGATCTAGTACTCATACAGAATCGGCCTACAATCCTTGAACATGTACACCATCGATCTGTAGTGGGTGGGAAAAAAGTGTTACGCACTCAGTGTGCAGGCATGCGCGGTGGTCCGTTCATAGGGGAATCACACCTTATACGTTGAAATGTCAGAACGAAAGTGCACCCAATATTTCTTGGCATTGATTTTCAACCCCCTCGGTTCAGAAAGCGAAGTGAAGGCATCAAACGGACAGGCAACATGTCATCATCCACATTGAGTTCCAGTAAGATCACGCATAGGATGTGAAGTTAAATTGTAAGCATATGGTAAACTATGCTTACTTAAATAAGTGGGGTTCGACTACAGCGACCGAATAGGATCCTTCCGGTCTAACCTCACTGCTTGACGCGAAACTCTTAATTTTTATGCGATTACCTTTACAGTTTCTCTAAATGCATCAGCGTGTATCCATTGGTTGAACTTGCTAATGAAACTTGTGCAATGATCGAATGGGTTACCAAGCAAACATTTCGTTTGATTGACTTTAAACAGCTCTTAAAACTCATGTGTTCGATAACTTCTAAGCGTAGCTCAAGAGGTTAAACGCTGCTACGCCATTTAGTTAATAAAATCAGTACCGGTAGCTCACGTACTCCCTATGCCGAAGTCATGTCGGTGCAGCAGACTGACGAAAGCCCATCTCAGTGGGAGGTGCTTGAGAAAGCCAACAGAAAAGTTGCAGCTGTTTTCTCTTTAATAAGTGGCCTTGGTAATGAAGATGAAGGTACAAGTTTTGGAAGTTCATACCCTTGTTGTTAGACAGGGTAAGCTAGGAACGAAAGAAAAGCACCCATCTGTCATCATAAGACCTTTGTAGAAGTAGACGAGTGTCGTGTAGTCCCACGCCCGAGAGAGAAATGGCGTTTAGTGTGAGTTTATGGTAAAATTGTACTCCCGTCATGTGAAAATTTTGGAGACAGGCTTATTGAAAGAAAGCAAGGATTGGAAATTAACTGAACGTAAGCACCACCGCCAATCAATGCTAATCTTGCAAACGAAAAAGACAGCATCGTCAGTCAAAGTCATATTGATTTCCTATATCTTTCCATTGCACCCTGAACTAGGTATCCGCAACAACCGCTACAGCGTCAACCTGCGATTGCAACTCCCAATCTTCAAAACTAAAATAACAACTTCCTAACCACCACGACAGGCTTTCCCTTCAGAGCTCAGGACTTCAATCGTCAAACCCCATATCTCAGACTCCATCTTTAGTTCAAAATATCTTACCTAGAATCAACCAAACAGTGATTAAACAAGTCCTGGAGTGTAGCATTGGGCGAGTACTTTGTCTAAAATTTCACCTCGGATAAGTTCCCAATACCCTGAATTAGCGTAGTTCAGCTCGAAATGAAGTGTATTCCACCTTGAGCTTTCGTACAGTAACACAACAGAATTTCTAGGTTTGTTCGTTCCCGTACATGTGAGGGTTCATTTGGTATCGCTTCACCTGTCGGAGCGAAAGTGATTAGATAGGTGTCCATCTGTGGACTGTCTGGTTTTGCTTTGTTCACATATTTGCTAGCGTTTGCCTACATAATAACCTTAGCGAAGATGAACGACCTACACATTGTATTATCTGGAAGGAAAAGAATACGTTGTTGGCTTTATTACTGCATATGGCATGCTGGAAACGGAACCTTGGATGTTAGACACGTTTGATTTAAACTGTTTTGCCTTCCAGTTTGCAGGTCGAACTTACGGTGAGTTGGCTGTAGTTTTACCATTATCAAGCCCGTCATAATTTCTAACTAAGCTGTACTTCGCGCCACAATTATTCCCCCACAGAAGTGACGATGGTTCGGAGATTTTGTGCATCTGAGGGTGCCGAACCCGAAGAGATCCAATGTCAATTTAGTGCATCTCCCGGCGGTTACATGGAGTCGTGTATCTGTGGCCACGATAATTGCAACTTCGCCAACCCTCTCGCGAAATGCACAAGTGCTCTCATGCTCACGGTTGCAATGTCGATTTGCAGCGTTCTGTAGACTATATACGCCCTGCTGCCAGAACTCTGCCTTTCTTAGATGCTGTTGTACCAAGTAGCTACATGGATATGCAAATACACGACTGGATGTGCTACTGAGACGAAGTTCACGCAATGAAGTGCAGAAAAGTAAACATTTCCTCATTTTTTCAATTGAAACCGAATCAATATATCTTAATAAAGAACTCCGTGTGTATCGTTACTTCTCCTTTACAATGCTTAATGTCTAGTTGGATTTCAAGAAATATTAGTGGCGTAGAAAACGTGAGACATGTGGTTGTTCCGTGAGTCTGGTTAAGATCCGCAAACGTGCAATAGACAATATTCCAACAGATCCCTATAGCGTCTTACGCAAGTGGTGAGCTTTATGTTGCTGCGATGGATTCAGTCGCAGTCAACCGGCTTTATATGCAGAGGGGCGGCCGCACACAGTCGATAATAGTTCCTTCTAATGCCCTGAGAATGCGAGGTTTCTGATTGCGCATTAGGGCCGGGCCTTCAAATCGGCCGCGCCGTTTTCACTTAACATCGTTTTACAATATCGCTATGGACACATTAGTTTTCACAGAATACTTGAACGTTGATTTTTGTCAAACTATTTCCAAGGTAAACACTGATGTCCTTTGCTAACTTTTTGAGAAGTATTCAAGATGCTGCGTACTTGAAGATGAACCGCCTTGATTGGAAATTCAAGTTGCAATGCTGGCCTCCCAACAGAATGCAGCTTTGGATTATTCTATCCGGAAAGGTTTATTTGTAGCTCATTTATACTGCCCGTTTACTCAATCCACACCGGTACACAGTGTCCTATTTCCATTTATGCAAAGTTAAAGTTTTGATAAGGAAAATTTAGCTAATCCGTAGTCGATATTGTAAAGTGATGAAAATGTACCATCCGGATACATAAAGCTTATTTGACTTGACTATAAACGTCCTACTGGGGATGAGTCGGTAGCCAGTGTTCACCGAATGCCATCTGATTACAGAGACGGTCCTGTTTCCTGATTCACTGAGTTCTCGAGTCGAAAATCTTATTTGCTTGCTTAGCCGTTGAGGGAAGTGTTCATCGAATCTGATACCCAAAATTAAAGCAGTGTCCAAAAGCTACGAGTGAACTTACACACATAATGCCGTGCCGTCGATGTCTTATTCGAAGACAACTACATCTTCGAATTAGGAGTTTCAAAGAGTATTTCTTGAGTAAGACTCCCCGATAGCTTTAGGCTCAGCAGGAAACAAAATCCGAATAAAACTTAATTTGGAAGCTGATGGTCAGTTGAATAAAACAGGCAGAGCTCAATTCGAGAGGGTGTGGTTTTTCGGTCCAAACATCGCACTGTACAACCGGTTTCTATCGTGATGATCTGAAAGTGGAACGTGGAATGCAATCTACATACACAACCTGTACCCAGCAAACTAACAGTCGTTACCCTTTCGCAGACAGGGTTCGGGCTGCACCTTTGGTTGTCTGGCCTAAGGAGTCACAGACTGAGACTTTGGGGATTAGGAACTGTGGTGTTTTCGGAATGGAAATGGAACTTGCAATTTGTAGGACTAGTTAATACTAGTCCGAGACGGTGCGCGAAAGTAAGCGCGGATATCAGAAGGCAATGGGAGTCGGACACAGCGGTCTGTATTCGATGGGCTACAATAAGAAGCGGACGGATGAAGCGAGGCGAGAGCGTACACGTGAGCGCGGGAACTTACAAGGCAGTTGTGTCGAGCCGGTTGTAAGGACGATTAAAACAAGAAGGAATAATGTACAATCGGTCAACAAGTAAATTGTACATGAAAGATAAGTTATCTTTTTGGGCGCTACAGGCTCTAACCAAACTAGTCGTAGTTCGTAGTAAGAATAACCGAGTTGAAATTCGAACTTGCGATAACAGATTATAAGATAGTTGGCAAAAAGAATACCTAGAATCGTTCACTGAGTATTGCATGTACAATCATCACAACGTGCACAGAATGAACATAAATCCGGGCTTCTGTAATTTGGTTGTGACTTCCGCTGCAGCCTGGCCCACCTTCTTAGAGGTTGGCTTTGCTTAGAAAACTCATGAGAATCTGAAACTGATTTATCCTTAACATTTTCAGTGCGCACAAAATCAAATGAGAAGTGACTGGGATCAACATGCCTGTTGTGCACAGAATAGTCGACAAGATCCGAAATTTTAATCATCTGACTTCCAAGCTTGTTACCAATGATTCCGAAGGAATAAGGTAGTGCTGTCTCTGAAGTAAGATACATCGGTGGTTCCCGAACTCAGCATGTCAGACGGCAGCAGTCTGGATGTATGAAGTTTAGTGGGCGCATCTCCACTGGTGGAATGCATACAATTGCGGTACCGATAGGAAGTCATCAACACAATGGTTAAGTTCATTAAATAAGCTAAGGACACATCAGACAACAGTCCGTTTTAAAGCCACAAACAAAGTTCTCAGCTAGACCATTAGAGCATGGATGACGTGGAGCAGCAAAAAGACAACGACACACCAATGGATGACTCCTACCAGAATAAACACATTTCCCGAAATACAGGTAGTAAAGTCAGAATTCGGTTCGTCAATCAGTAATACCTCCGGCCAAGTTGGTTAGGAATTCGCAACCACAAGTGTATAGTACTTTGTAGAAATGGCTCTTAATAATCCATGCGCGTCATTTGCCAAGGCTCACATATCATCGGTTAAGGTACCCACATGGACGAGTGGTGTGGTGTCTTGTGCATACAGGTCGAGCAATCAGAAGCTCTTCGCTGAAGCGCTGCATGTAATTCAGACCATCAAAACAAGTATCGACTTGACGGATTCATCTCTTAACACCAAAAAGGTTAGAAGGTAGATCCTTTAGAGCAGCTGGTCATTCACACATAATAATTCAACAGACATAGCATGCAACTATTTGCGATGTATACAAAATTGTGGCTTTCCCTTATTAGAAACAGACCATTCTCGCTTAGTAGCAGAAATCAATGACCCGTAGTACGTTCTCCTACCCTCGATGAAGGCCGAACACGAGACTGAGAACTCATTTCAGAATGGATTTCGAGTACAGTTGTATATCGTGATAAGTAATCAACTTGCAGAATGAGGTTTACACTTTTGTGTTCAGCAACATAGTTATACGCACCAAGTGAAACACCCCACCTAAGGACCATAGCTGCTGAAGTTTTGCTAGAGAGCTGGCAGCATTTTAGATGAATCTCAGAGCTTCAAGATAGGTCATTGTAAGAAATCGGAGTATAAATACTTGTGAAGTCTAGTTACTGTCCAGTATACAACCAGCTTCTCGACGGGTCTGAGCAAACCCCTTCAAGCATTACGGAGTCGACGAGAGATACACAGAACAAGGGACTATCCTGCTGTAACACAGCAACTATACTGGTTGCTGCAGCGTCCGTGGAAAGAACAGTGGGAACCTTTGGAGAGAAACTATGTAGGATACGACCGAGTGTGAGCGTTTTCGAAAGCTTCCGAAGCACATGCTCATGCTAATATGGTCAAATAAAACTCTTGCCATTTAACAAAGTGAAGAAAAGGTCAAAATGGGTGAAAAATTAAATTTATAATAATAATATAAAAAGGTGTCAGCTTATACGCCGTAACGGCGCTTCGCTGCCGCGCGGCCACCACCAGTCGCGCGCGGGCTGTGTATACCGCGAGGACGCCCACCCCTACGCGGATTCGAACCGGTGAACTTATGGTTGCAAAGCAAACGTGCAGACCACTCGGTCACCGGCCGACAATAATAATATAAGGCCCACATCAAGGATCGAAGTAGGGAAAAATTGGTGGGCGACTTCTGATTAACCACTGGTTTTATTCGATCAGCATCCGGTTTGGATCCTTCAGATGTAACATGTATGTATATGTATAATGTATGTGATCTCAGCAGTCGAGCGACCAGACACAGAGCCAACAAAAACCATGGACATTAGCGGATAGGGGGAAGTCATCGCATCATAATCATCGTGGCATAGTAGTTGAAGGTGAGCAACACACTTCAGCTAATATGCCGAAGGAAGAAAGGAACATTTTGACAAAAAGTAGAACAAAACATTTTTAGTTTGTCTTTCACACGCCGATTTTTCTCTTTTTTATCATTTTCAATGAATGAAGTATTAAACAAGTGAATCAATACAATGCTGTACATAATGCTTCCGCTGATTCCGGTGGCGGACCATGTCTTCAAGAGTGTTAAGTCATTGGCACTCCTCATCTTTGGGTCCCCATCCTGGAAGACGTACAGATCCAACAGCGGCTAGACGCGACGTCAGCGACCTCATGTGCTGTCGCCAAGTGGAAGGCTGGCCACCACGCGGTCGCCTCCAGCCAGGTCGTTGACGAGCGAATAGAGCGCGACGCGGTAGACGCTCAGGTGCCATGCGTAGGACATGATCGAGCCATCACAACTGGCGCAGAAAAACCAGTTTGTTGAAGGAAATACTCGCATTCTCCAAGATGCGACGTCGAAGATCACTACTCGACGTTGCCACCAAACACGAGCAATCCTCCTTAAGCAATCGTTATCTAACGCAGAAAGACGGCGCATGTCTTCCACGCGAATCGGTCAGGACTCGTTCCCATACAACACTGAGCGAACAGATGCGCTGTAAAAGCAGTCCTATAGAGAGAATGAGATGTCGCGACGACGCCACAAGTGCCTCAGATTGGCAAATGCTGATCGAGCCTTAGTGATGCGAAGAGAAACTTCATTGCTGATAGTGCCGTCAGCAAGAACACAGCTCCCAAGGTACAAGAAACTATCTACCTGTTCAAGTTGAGCACCTTCGAGATTGAGCACGGGAGCAGGTGAAAGCCAATCCTTGAGCAGTACTTTACACCTCGATGGAGCGAAGCTCATGTCATACTTAGACGCTTCAACCGCCAAACGATCCAGAATGAGTTGCATACTCTGAGGATCATCACCAAATAAGGCGATATCATCAGCGCAAGTCGGTCGCGCGCTTACCCGATAGAAGCTCTAGGCCAAAATGTTAG